TGAATCCTTGATCATAGTGCGAACTGCATTCATTATTGTACGATTCTCCCTTTTTCAACCTAATCCGTTTTGTTCTGGTGTATATGGCATAGTGATTCGCAGCTTGATGCCTACATCATCAGTCAGTTAGTTTCACCAATTTATCATTGTCAAATTCACGACCACCGTCTGTGACCAGTTCTTTTACATTTATACCATCTTTTTGTTGGTCCGAAACAAGAAACTGCTTGATTTTATCCACAGTCTCATCTTTATGTCTCAGAAATTCTACATGTCGAAACTTAGAGTAATCGTCCTTAATCACTAACATGTACTTCTTTCCACCTCTTGATAAGAGACTGGCGATTCGAGTAAGTCTGCATGTATTATCTCACCAGACTTTTGTGTTTTGAATCGTTTTGGTTTAAATGTTCGTCGACTTTGTTTACCATACGCATATGGCTCACAAAATAGTCCATCGTCGATAAAATCTATACCATTTTGGCGCAAGTACTGTTTCACGTACTGTATTCCTTGATGCCCAAGTCGTCGATGCCAAAGTGATAATGGCAATTTTGTCGTCGTCTTCATTGCCGTCTCAGGAAAAGGAGTCGTCATTTCGTTGTCAACCAAGTAGGCTGCAGCATCAGAATCCCCTTGTGTCTTAACTTGTTTTGCACGTAGTTCAAAGAGTCCATTTGATGAACATGGGCTTCTAAAAGTATATTATCTGGGGTCTCCTAGCGAAAGAAACGACAAATCTTATCGTCTGAATCACCAAAGTTCGAGATTCCTGGCTTCATTGCCTTTGAGGCTGATAACAAATTTTTGCCAATTTCTGGTGCTTACAGTCCATCAGTCAGCTCAATAGATTTTCGTACGTTTCCAATCACCGCGCACATGTCAATGTCCCCACAGCCATATGCTGGTATTGTCTGTTTGTTACAGACTGTGATTTCTGTTTGTTTGTCAAAGTGACGGTACGTCTTGAAATACTCGGCTGAATTTGTAATGTGTGCTGTAGCTCCATCGTCTTTAAGCCACACATTTCGGCCACAATCTTCTTGACAAGCAAACGCACTGCATTGAGTATTTGCAAAGAAGGTCTCTGTTTTGCTATTCGTCGTGGTTGGCATGTCAGGGAAAACTGGGCAAAATTTACCAATGTGCCCGGGTTTATTACAATGAAAACAGATGCCATTGAAACCTTTCACACCATCACTGGTCTTACTAAGTCTGTTCATCGTTTTGGCATTATTTGTTGTCAAGGGTTGGGATTGGCTGACCATCTGAGGTTTTTTTACTACCCTTCTTCCATTTCTTTCCACTATGTTTTGCGCTATAATTAGCATTTGCCGCAAATGTTATCGTACTTTCGTTTCTAAGCTCTTGATTTCTTCTTTGCAGCCGCATGTTGATCTGTTCGATCAGTTTTTCAGGTGACTTTTCCGTCTTTGGCATAGAGTCCACTGTGATTTCAACTCTATATATTCGTCATCAGGAAGAATAGATAAGATTCGCGGTGCTAGCAGGTTCTGCGGCAACTTTCCTTCACCGCTCAACTCTTGCTTACATTGAAGATCCACCCACAGTGTACGTAAACGTGCGAGTAATTGCATTACACTTTCGTCTTTCTCGATCCGAAAAGTGAAAAACTGTTGCAGAAGAGTGTCCAATTTTACGCTTGACACCTTCTCAAAGTTACTTAATAACTCATTCCATATCGCTAGTGCAGAATTACCATGCATACGGATCAAATTTAACACATTCGGTGATACATTTGTGCGAATGATCACAGCAGCTTTCGCATTCGCCTTTGCATACGCTTTTGCGGCTTCGTTGTACTCGCGTATCGTTTTTTCATTCGCGCTTTCTGCCGGAGCTTTTGGCTCAATAAGGGAATTATCGAAGATGCCCGCACAATCGTTGAGCACAAATAAAGAGTTTATTTCAAATTTCCAATCAGTCCAGTTGGATAAACCTTCCAATTTGGTACAGTGAACAAAATTTTTAGCTTCCATATTACGTCGTTATTAACCAGGAAATATGCAGCAAAATTAAAAAAAAAAAAAAAGGCTATCGGTACACTGTAGCGTCTACCTACACACTGTTCAGGTGGAAGTGTTGAAATAGAAAACGAAAGTAAAAAAAAAAAAAATCCGTGATTCAAATACGTCAACATAGCCATCGTTAATTTATTTACGCAGTTAAACGTCGCTAAAACCCATAAACTGTTATAAAATTAACATGCAGAGCGATGGCTAATTGAATTTTGTACTTTATTAACAAAAAAAAGAAAAGGGAACTTACGTACGTCTTACTGTTTACATGACAAATTTTAGAATGATAAAAATAACAGTGATGCCAGATGCATAAAACATAAAACAATAAAACAATGATGCCACTGGGAAACTGCTCATACTATTAATTAAATGCTCGATTCTCAACATTAATTATAAATAAAATTGTTTTATTCCCCGCGCAATGCAGCACGTGATGAATATTAAAGGAAAGCTAAGCCAGAAAATTAAAAATACAAGAGCACGTGCATTTAACATTTTCCCAGTAACGTTTTTCTATTGAAAATGCTCACGTATATACTTAAAAACTATATTTATTTATTTATGTAATTTTAATTCCTTAGAATTAGAAGATTCCTGATGGCATTTTGCTCTTTATAAGAAAAACAAGTTTTCCCCATCATTGATAAAATATCGAGCTTAAAAACACGGCATCGCATGTTATTTCTCAGCATCTTTTTTTTATTACTGTATATGAGTTTAATTAATTCTTCGACTTATTTTTGTAACTGTAGTTTTACTGGATTTGTTAAAAAGCTCTAACCTTCATACAACCTTGCGTATATATACGTATATAGTGTATATTGCATTTACGCATACGTATTTACGCATTGCGCATATGCGTATATACGTTACCGCTAAAGTGCAGAAATCAGTTATTCTACAGATGCAGATAAATGTGCAAATTAATTAGGGTGCCCCTTTAAAGTGCTAAAAATTGTTTCATTTCTCTAATTACCTGAGTAATTTACAAATTACTTAGATGGTCTGCACATTACCTGCTAGGCAGTCGTTAAAGTGAAAATAAGATCTTTGCTGGAACAAGAGCAAGGTTAAATTAACATAATGTTACTTAAGACACAATAACACGCTGAATAAATACTAATTCAGAAGTCAAACAACAAAAATCCGCGTTATATTTACAAAACTTTCACAGGACTAGTTTCGATGGTTTTACCGAACCACCATCCTCAGCTGTAAAACCGCCGGTTTTGTTGTTGAAACTGTGAAATGGCCGGCTAGATCACCGGACCTCAACCCAATCGAGAACCTTTGGGGTGACTTAGCAAGAAGAGTTTATGCAAATGGGAGATATTTTACATCAACAACAGAGCTGAAATCCACTATCGAAGATGAATGCTATAAAACCGACCCCACCCTTTGTCAAAAACTCGTTTCATCCATGAAAACAAGAATATTTGAAGTAATTCGAAGAAATGGATCCTACAAAACCTTCTAAGAATTTTTAATTTTTTTCTTATATGTTATTTTCTATGTTGGCCGTAAAGGTTTTTACTCGGGCTCAAATATTCATCTGTGTGTTCTGTAATATTTTCTAATAATAAAATATTTGAAAATTAATTTTTCTACTTTTTTACTTTTAATTAAGCTCAATAATTATCAATCAAATGGTATTTTAATTCCTCAGTTTAAATGTTTCCTTTTTCTCAAAAATTTTTACTGGCCTTAAAGGTTTTACTCAGGCTTTAAAATCCTCACTTGCGTCAAGTGCTTTGCTTCGTAAACTCCCAAATTTTCACGCCGTTTTTTTAAAAAATTTACCGTTCACGATGAGCGAAAAAAATGGTACTGGAGAGTTTTATTTAGACGATTTATCAGATTGTCCTGACAGTTATTCAGGACAGGAAGAAACTGCGGCTGAGTGGATGGTTGGACGGGCTTATGCTGCTGAACCGCCAGCGGTCGGTAAAATGTTAAGACTGGTGTGACGCTTTGAATAATGTAGCAAATGGTCTTCACGACAAGCACGCCTATTTGTGGTACACTTAGATTTGGAGTCACATTTCCTAAAACCCTGTCCAATCAACAATTTAAAAGGATAAGTGGCGGCAGTTTGTTTATATTTGAAAATCTCAGTAGCATAAGTAAAAGGTCAGTTGGTCAGCATAAGCTCAGTAGCATAAGTAAAAGGTAAAGTAAGTCAGTTGGCGCACCAACTTCAGCGTCTAATTTTTGTCACCGAACTTGGCAACCACTCTGTGAAACCAAACTAAAAGTGGAGGAAGAAGGAGAAATAAATGAGAGGAAAACACTTTTGAACTTTAACGAAACGAAAGCCATTCATGTGCACATTATCTAAGTAAAATGGGAAAAACTCTTGAATTCGCAGGTTAACGGAGCAAATTAGTTAATCGCAGATTAGTTAATGTGAATATTTTAACATCTTTAGTGATAACATAGGATATATTGCACTTTCGCAATACGTATATAGTATATATTGCACTTACGCAATACGTATATACGTGTATATTGCACTTACGCATTACATGTATACGCGTATTATAATCGGTTTTATATATCTGTGGTGCTCTATGTTGTGAATTTGTGTTTATGGTTTGTTTTTTGTTTGTTTGTTTGTTGGTCTGTAATTTTGTGTTAGATGTGCTTATTTATTTTTAATTTAGTATTTTTGCTTGCTGTTTGGGGGTGGCTGGGTTACTGGCTGCCCTCGTTTGTGGAGATACGGGGCCCCTTCTTTTGAACTATGGGAACACTCGTGTCCAGGTGGGCTGAAGGAAACCTCCAATTCTTACAATTCTTACGTATATACGCGTATACAGTATATATTGCATTACGGTCTCCTCTACGGTTCCAAAGTGTTAAATAGTATTAAATAACAAGTTAAGAACATTACAAATATTGTTTAATATGCATGCTGTGATTATGCATTGCTGCAAGTGATTTTGTAATTATTTATAGGCAGAGATTGCAAGAAGAAAAGTTCAGGAGTTGCGCTTTCAGATGGAAGATCTCCGTGAGCAGCTTGACGATTCTCTTCTGGAAAACAAGAATTTGAAACTCCAGATAGAAACGGACAAGAATGCTTTCGAAATCCAGTTATCAGAATTGAAATCTAAGATCAATCAGGTGAATTTTTCTCTTGTATTACGTTATTATCGAAGGATTGTGCGAAAGGATAATAAGATCAAGATATGCAAACACTGACACTTTGCTATTCTCATCAGAAACAACATCTAAATCAGAAACACCATCAGATCTGAAAGAAACAGTTTAAATACAATTTATAGTTTTCTGAATATTGAATGAAAGCTAATGTAGCCAAAATCCTGCTGTTCTGTTTGATATGAAAATTTTTGCAGCATATCTTTGTGAAATTGAGACAGAATCCATTTATCATAAAGTCTTTCGAGCGACACATGTGCTATAATTTTATCAAAAAACTTTTAGGAAGAGGTTTGATCTCCTTAGACGTTCTTTGCATTTTATGCGGTGTAGAAGAGTATTTGCATTTTCTTTAATTTCAGGCTTGTAGAAATCAAAGTAAGAAATACTCCGAGCTGCTGAGCTATTTTCCCTCTAACAAATTATGAATTGTGCACCAGTTTATAATTGTAATAACAATGCAATAATGCAATATGCGCAAGTTATTGCATTTTTTGGTATCCCGGATTACATCAGTCAACGTTCTGGGTTCAGTATAACTTGCATAATAACTGAATGTAAATGAACAAAATTTTGAATCCATTTATCGTAATTGTTATTGTTTTCGCATATATTTAAACCAGACCTGAAAAGTAATTCAAGTTCCAGTTCCGGTCGCCGCGTCTGTATACCGCCTATCATAACATAGGTGCTTCAAGGAACGATGCTCTAGTGGGTCCAGAGAGCAGGATGAAAGTTGGTGAGTCCTTTGTTACGCGTGAGGGATGTGTAAAACACATTTTACAGAATTAAACGGTACATAAAATACATATTTTACCCAGAAAATAGACCACTATTTACATAATATTTACAAGTATATGCCTTACTAAAATAGCAGAAAGTCCTACTATCAGGTTCTATGTTCCTCCTTACTTGCTTTGGGAACATTAAATGACCTGACTCGGAACAGGGAGCTTACTAAAGCTATGTTCAATAAATGTGGGAAGTAGACAAGATACACAGGAAGGGTATACGAAACCCTTTATTTTTCTCTCTTTATAATGATTTCCGGACTTCGGAATACAGAGACCAACCACTTGTGGTCTGAACGTAAGAATATAAAAATATTAACTAAACTCTAACTAAACTAACTTTGGAATTAATAAACAAGTGCCTACGTGAAGATTGGCCGTATATTAACAGAAAGACCGTATGTAGTACAGAGAAACTGTTAACACTACGATACGTTTAAAATTATCAAGAGGATTAAACCTCTGGCCTTGAAGGCAACCAGCAACCGAGTAAAACTTGCTAGGCAAGCGGCCTGCTCCTAATCACTCCTTCCTCTCTCTCTTGCTTGGCAAAAAGCCACAACTTAAGTACTTGGCGTTCACAAGACAAATTTGCATAAATAAGTTAAAGCTTTTAATTCTGGCCTGGAAGTAGAAAATAAGAAGTGATAGTAAAGATTTAAAATAAAATAAACGTTCGTAAAACTTAAGATCCTTACACTACAAAAATTAGGAAAAAGATTTAGAATGCTTACACAGTATGGAGTTGTAACAACAATTTTAAATCGTATGTAGGAAAATTTCGGTTTTCATTGAATATAAAAGCTGTAGAAGAGCGCAAATGCCGATCTTCTTGCAGAATTTCATAGCTGAAGAGATTGAAATGATTCATAGTGTTGCAATCTTGTGCGTCCTGATAGAATGGCTTATTAATCTCGTGTAAAAACTTAGCAAGGGGCTCTACTTTGAGGCCATCATGAAGACACTTATTCCTTACAAAAAAGTGGGCATCTGTGATGATACGCAGCTATCAATGTACTTCAAACAGTTGCATAAGGATTTAGACTCAAACGAATCTATATGGAAACCAGTAAACTAATTGAATAATAAAAGACTTTGGATAGTATACAGATAAAGTTCGTGATAAAGTAAAGTAAATCTGCATTTAAGTAACATACAGAGCTTAAAATGAATTTAAAATGTGCTCGTATTCTTTACGCGTGAGCTCCTTGTTAATATTAAGCATAACTTTTAAGGAATGTTCTTCTTCCTTATCACGTGCTTTTGTGGTCTAATTGAAAAGCACTTCCGGTTGACAATAGGAAGGCCCAGAGTTCGAATCCCTAGCAGAACACTGTTGATGCTGCATGATTTCTGCCCCCCAAAAAAGTAATAAATCGACAATTGGCGCTGGAACATTGGCGTTCAATATGAATAATTAAGTATCCCTGGAGACTCATCAATATTTAATTTAGCTTCCGCAAGGTTGGGGAAATACGGGCAAAACTGATGGAAGATTTCTGGCGTATCATACATACCAGTTTTATAAAGTATGGTTTTGAATCCGTACAAGGACATCGCTGATTTTTCATGTGTCCCGACTTAAAAAAAAATTAATTGTCTCAACAAGGTGGTGTCTGAACTAAAATATAATGAATGGTAAATGTTATCATCAGGATTTGTCAAAAGCTTTTAGAAAATTTGGTTTTAAGGAATAAAAAGTCATTTGTTTCTAATGTTGTCTTTTATGCTTTCAATAGTTAAAAAAATTCTTTTTCATAGTTCTGAGGACATAAATTAACTAATTCATACTCGAATGTTAATTTACATTATATTTTCCATATAAAATTTTAAGAAATAATTTCTTGCCGATTATAGTGAATACTGTATTCATTGTATATATCGTTTTCTACAGCTGGAAGAACAGAAGATAATGGAATCTACTCGCGGTCAAACTCGGAATATCGCCAAGACAAGACTGGAATTGACTTGGGAAAAAGAACGTGGCGAGTTGCAGCATTTGTTGAGTGAGAGCCAGAAACTAGTGTCGGACCTGAGATCTCGTCTGGAACAAACGGAATTGGAAAGAGAAAAGGAAAAACAAGCAGTCAGGAAACAAATGTTGGAAATGAGATCTTCTACGGAAAAGGATCACCAAGACAGCCGGCGGAAGATGAGCGAGGTAAGAAATTTCATTCTTCAAACATCGATGCAATCAAAACGAAATGTGGAGTAACTTTACAGAATATTCTTGGTTGAGCATTCATTGTGTCAAAACACACCTGGTGGAACACTTGCTGTGGCAGAGTATTCTTCGTGGAGTATGCATGCTGTCAGAGGATTCTTGATGGAGTAGTATTCACTTCACCAGAGCTATCATGGGGAATATGCGTTGTGGCAGATCATTTTTGGTGGAGCATTAATGATCGCAGAGCATTCTTGCTGGAGAATACATATTATCAAAGCTTTATTGATGAAGCAGTATGCACTATATGAGAGCATTCTTGTAGGAACATGCATTGTGGCAGATCATTCTTGGTGGAACATTCAATTGTGTCAGGGCATTTTTGGTAGAACATTCATTGTGGCGCTTTGTGTGGTGGTCGGCATAGGGCTCTTCTTGTGTCTTGTAGGAAGGCTGGAAGATTGATAGCACCCTGGAACTATGGAAAAACACCAGCTCAAATAATGATAGTTATGAAGCTCCCCGTGTGCCTATTACATGCCTGTAATGGTCTGTGAGCTATTTTTATCATAGTCTAACTGTAAATAAGACTTTAATGTTTAAGCAGGTGACAGGTGATGAAAGACGGGGACACCTGGTGACTCACATAGGTAATCAGGTGTATGTTCCACGTCCTCCTCTGGATAGATGCAACAAGTTCTTGGGGTCCCATGGAAGCCCCATAACGGGAATTCAATGAGCATAATTGCTTATTTATAGTGCCAAACAAGGGTGTCTATGGCTGAGTTGTTTTACACAGATTTTGGGGTACAGTGTTATTTGATTTCCATGTCACTCTGGGAACAAGACGAGTTGATACTTACACATAAGCAAACATATTAAAAACATCTACATTGATAACATATACAAAATCATACACGCATAAAGAACTCACAATAAATGCCAAGATTACGCGTAAACTAAAACATTAACAAAGACACGACATATATTATATTATATGCACGTGGGTGGCTTTCTTTACTTTCTTTTAAAAACACAGGAAAATCTAGTGGTTCAGCGTTGGCTGAATGCAGATGAATAGTTGGTCTCTAGTAGCGTCTCGCAAGACTGAATGGAGTTTATTTACAATACTATGTTCATACTAAATTAATTTAATGCACTCATGTAATTACTTGGAACAGAAACAGTACCTATGACAAAAAGCGTAATGTTTACATTTCTAATGAGCCTAGTGTAAAAATAGAATATGTACCTTGCAGTTAGTAGTGTTGTGTAGATAATTGTTTGATTGCGTTATAAAAAACCAGGTGAACTATTTTTCTGATTTAAGAAAATCTTCTCTGCTAAAAATGCCCAATAGAAACCAGTAAAACTTTTTATGGGTACCCATAAGATTTTATGGGTTTCTATTGACTTTTACTGGTTTCTGTTGGTCTCTGTGGGTTTTTATTACTGGTTTCAAAGTGACCCATAGACCTTTCTACTGGTACCTATAGAATTTTTGATGGTCTCTACTGACTTTTACTGGTTTCTATTGATCTCTGTGGGTTTTTCTTACTGGTATCACTTGACACCCATACAACCAACATTCAATGGCAGATCTTTGTACCGGTTTGTATAGGTTTATATTGACTTTTACTGGTTTTCTTACTGGTATCAATATAATAATAAATCTTCTGTTAGTTTATATGGGTTTATGCTATTTTTTTTACTGACGTTAATGGACTTCTCGTAAACAATAAAATTAACAGAATGAAAATATGATCTCTTTAAGACCATCAGAGTAACCTGGAAACGTAGGTGGTCGTTTTAGAGAGGGTTTTTACTAAATATGCTTATTTATTTGATTTAAAATTTTTTTGCGAACAATAACAGTAATCATATACACCACACACAACGAGGTCTCTCTAACGCGACCAGCCGCAAATAAAAATCCATCTTTGCAAGTGGTCGCCTTAGAGTGGTGATGCTCAATACCATTATATACTCACGTTCTCAGAGATACGGTTATCTTTTAGAGGTGGTCGTCTTAGAAAGATTGCATCTACGGAATGAATCTCTCTAAGGCGACCATCCCCACTCGCAGAATTTTCTTTGTGAATGGCCGCCTTACAGAGGGAATATTCAATACCAAAGTATACTTATGTTTTCAGAAAGACTGGTCTCTTTCAGAGGCGGTCGTCTTAGGGAGGAGGTTTTTGCTACGAGTTGGTTCTCTGAATACACACACATAAGCACTTACATTTCTGATATTACAAATAAACACCGGTATCAACCAACATCTCTTTAACGCGAACAAGTTCATTCACAATCGCAAAACTTTTCTCCCTGTTAACGCTGACGTGAAGAAAAAAATTCCCCTCCCTCCCATGCTCCCTCCCCCACTCTCAGAAGTTTCCCAAACAAGCAATATGGCGCCGCTCTAGTTATTTGTTGTGCGAGGGTGGTGTTATTTTCTTCGTGGTTGTAGTAATGCAATATATTATTTACTACGATTTACTGTATTACAAATTTTACTACGTTTTACTGTTTAGAAATTAGTTATAAATAATAAAATACCAGCACTGACTATGAATATACCACTAAAGCTATGCACGTGTAATCGTGTCTAATGTTTGAGAGAACGTTGCTGATAACTGACTAATGGAAATGGAGTTTCTGAGCGTGAAATTGATTTTCCATCTTTACTTTTATCCTGAAAAACAATGTGCTTAAAGACTGAAAAGTGATAATTTCAGACTTGATAATTTGGTTCAGTGTGCAGTGCAGATGTGATCAGATGCACAAATATAGTTTTTGCATTCTACTGAAACTGTATTTTTGGAAAATTTATTTTTTGATTACAGTTTAGAAATACTTTTTTAAAGCTTGTTCATGTAGATTGCTTTATCATTTGAATATTATGTACTAATAAATTTGAGCATACCTTACTTCAAAATGATCTTGCATGATTCAATTTTCAATTTTTCGACTAATGTGATGTGGCCGAGTAAAAAGAATTTTTTTGTTTTTTTTACCTTTGTTTTAAAAAATGTACTAATTATATTTCGCGAGCAAAAAAGGTAAGTTTTATTAATGAAATAAACATTGAAATATTTAATGTGTTTATTACTTATTGAATGGGGTAGACAAGACATACAAGCTTAAGGAATCTTTTTTCCACTACTAAAATTATGTGAAAATTTAGATGATCATAGTAGCTTACATTGTTTTTTTCTTTTTGGTCTATTTTTCTTTACAAGTATGAGACTAGAACCACATTTTTACATTAAATATTTTGTGCTATTTTGTTAAAACACATATAATCATTTTTATGCATACTTTAATTTTCATTATTATTAGTTTGATGAAGAAAATTTCAAATTTGTTTTTCATAAATTGCTTTTGAAATAGAAATAGATTTGTGAATAAGATTTATGTAATATTAAATGTACTAGTCTTGGGAGCATAAAAAGAGAATTATTTATTTGAAAAAAATTAAGTTGAAACCTCATATAGTGGTTATTTTCTTAAATGACCACCTCTGATAATGGCACATTTGTCAAGACAATAATTAAATAACAGGACTTAAAAAATTACTCATAGTTTTGTCAGGCTACAGGAAACTGGCATTATCTTGAATTGTGGAGTTGATTGTTTTAGGAACGTGTTGCTGTATAATCAATTGACTTCGGTGTAGTAATTTTTACGTGGGTATGAATTTTGCAGAAGTAATTGAAAGTTTTTACGAGACAATTAAAACCAAAGCTTTTCGGATCATGAGATCAAGATCATTGCTTTCAAATATAGTTAGAGTAAGGGCACTGTTATAGCATTGCTTTCAAATATAGTTAGAGTAATATTTAAACATTATTTTTGAAAGCACTTCCACAGAGAATCCGGTTGTTCTCTGCAGATGAAAACCCATATAAATATATCTTCTGTACAGCCTTATACAAATGCAGTTAAAATTACTGTCGTTACAATTAAGCGAATATAGCTACATTTGTTTACAAAAAAGTTATTGCTAAATACTGCACTACATAAATTTCATTTGGCATTGTAATTTCAGAAAATGCTCAGCATGAGGTATTTTTATATTATATAATCTACTGTCAAAAACCTTTTCAGTACTTTAAATTTTACTACTTAGAATTTTTATGGTTCAAAATAATATTTCTATACACTTTCTAAAGTATTATTTCTACAATAGAAATCTAAATAACTTACACCTAAAACACTGACTAAATTTATTCCAATAATGCATCGCTTTAATTAAATTTATGTTCCTTTGAGATGATATATGAAAAACCTTGTGTAATAATAAATTATTAATATATATAGGTAAATGGTATTTTTATATATTTTTTCGGGTAAAGTGCAGAATCGCCCACTTATTTATTTGGCACTTTTTACTAAAGTAAAAAGAATTAGATTTTTGTCAATTTTCTTTTGACTTTTTAAGTGAAAATAGGTCGATGTGTACATGGATAAAGTCAAAGGAGTGCGCAATGACATTTTTGTGCAATTCTGGGATTTTTTTTAAGTGAAAATACGTCGATGTGTACATGGATACCGAGTATGTGCAATTCTTAAAAACACGCCAAGCAGTGGGCGATTCTATCTTTCCCCATTTTTCTATAGGAATTTATTTTAATTAAATTAGTTATTTAGTATAATTATGTGTATATGAGTATATTCATACTTATTCACATAGATGGAATTTTTACAGTACGAAAGTTGATCTTTTTTACATCAAGAACTACATATAGTAAAATACCCATTATGTTATAGATTTATTTATATAAAATCTGTGGAAAATTATATAGCACTAAAAGTGAGATACGGAATAAAAACATTATACGCTATGAGATATTTCCTTAATTTCCGAACTGTGCGTTGAGAATTGGTATTTGTTGAAACTTGTAAATTTTTTTAAATTCGTTTTGTTATAATATAATTTATTGTATTTTGGGTATTATTAAGTTTATCATATGTTATCTTCATGTTTCATTTAT